TGCAATTTCGGTTTATGCATTCCGCTCCCTGATTTTACAACTCTCCCACGCGAAAGTTGAACAAGAGTTGAACGAGATCGTTCTTTTCACATCGACTTTGTAGAAAATTGTTTTTCTTTCTAATCTATCGTTTATTTACTCTGCGAGAGAAGAATCCTTCATATGAATTAACAAAAAATGAGGCGAAAGAAAAATATAGTGATACGTGAATGGATATAAGTAAAATCAAAATTAGAACACCGAGATCAATTAAGAAGGAATTAAGCTGCATGATATGATTTCAATCCTTTACGATCTACATTGAAGTAGATCACGTAGACTAAGATAAACTATTTGAACCTGAAGAAAGAAGTATTATCCAACACTATAATATTATCTGATCTTTTCTAGATCATGGTATCCATTTGTTAACAGAAAACAAATTATGCTTACCTTTCGTTGCTGGACGAGATAAGAAGCGTGCTTTTATTATATCCAACTGCGGATTGCGGGAATTAGAAATGAACAAAAAACTCTTGTGTTGGTACTGTGGGTATTTTCAATTTAGAGATATTGCATCGCATTGCTTTGGAACGTAGATCGAAGACCGGGAAAATTGAGAATTGATTTTTGTTAATTGGAAAAGTGAATAGAATTTTTTCGCGTGTTTGATATTTGTCCTCTCCCGATATTTTTTTTTTTTTTTTTAAATAAAAGCCCTTCCTCTCCCCCCTCTCCCTTCATCCCCGTCGAGTTGTTCGTGAGCGTGATTAACAATGTTCGCGGATAAAGGTTATTCCAATAAGCGGGCAACAAACGCGGCGCGACACGGTCTTGAAATAAATTCTCTGCCACTTGTGTCCGAAGGTGTATAAATCAGGGGAGAGCCGTGAAACCGGTGGGACTCGACTCGAACGATAAAAACTTTTCCCGTCGAGCTGGCCTCGCTCTGCTCCGAGATTAATAACGTACACGTTGTGAACGCGGCTTAGGTGTCTCTGTTTTAATTAAATTGAAATCCACAATGAAGCCTATTAGGCGCTCTATTAAAAGACCCGCGGGCGGGGGAAAAAAAAAGGCCGTTGTTAATGCCCGGTAAGGGAAACGAGAGCGTGAGAACGAGGTTGCAACGATTTCAAGACAACTGACGAAAAGGGTTGCAGGTTTTGCAAATCCGGAAGCAACGCCCTTGAAAATCAAACGGCTAATTATAGAGGGAAATCACGCGTTACGTTAGCGATGTAATTCCACTGTTTTTTTAACTCTTGAAATACCGGCGTTATTTACGGGACGATGGAACGGATTTGCAGGTCAATTGGTTTAATATCGTATTACAAATGCGCCCGGCGCATGATGCTTAAAAGACCTCCATTTTATCCGATCCATCATTTTTGAAACGTACATTTTACAAAAGTGACTCTACAATGCAAGGTAAATTTGTTAAATATATATTTCGAATCCACTGTTGGCCGATGTTTAAGTGAGAAATATGCGAACCAAATATTTTACAGGCACGTTAAATTTTAACCAAAACGGTGTGCGTGTAAATCGAGTACACTTCCGCCGTGTTGAACAGCTGGAGAGATTTTTATGCAAAAAAAATTTTTTATGCTGTTCGTTGTATCAATGAATTCTAAATAAGTGTAACTGAAATAACCGGTTACACACACACACACACACACACACACACA